AGCCACGGAGAGGGGGGAGAGGGGCCCGACCACCCCCCTTTCTTCAGGACCAATTTTGTAGAGGAAACACTGGGGGGCACGTAACCTCTTAATGTTTAAACTATGACATAAAATATACCAAATCTGTAGACTTCAGATTATCATAAAGGCGAGTTACGATGCAAAAGTACGCCTTTTCTACCAATGACAAATTGCATCAATTAAATGTTGACCCAATGTTAAGAAATTTTCCCGACCACTTGCTGTTTTCTGTTTTGACATATTTAATTGAGTGATTGATCCAAACTTTGTATACTTTGAGAACATATGCTACTTGTTGAATGCTTACAAAAAGTAAGCATAACTTAACCAAACTGCATTTGTTTTAAAGGTGGGTCGATGTATTATGTCCATGTTTGTTTTACTGTATCATCCCTTGAACAAGAAATCTTCCGACTTCGGCAGATAGGAATGCGTTATACCTCACAGCTAGGAGCATGCTGCCAAACGTGCTTCTCTAACGGCATTGCTAATAATAACATGTCAGATTTGACCAAGGTTCCCCCACAAATCTCAGAGAAGATTTCTAAGATGTCTGAATTTCTCATGACATACTCATCGATTAAATTAGGCTGAAATATTCGCTGGAGTACTAGTATCTTTCACAAAACGTAAAAGAGAAGATCACTACAGTCTGTTTACACTATCAAAGTTTCTGTGATCACAGTAGGAATTTTGCAAAGGTAAATTCTAAGTTTTGAAGGATTTGTAAGAAATGTTTGAGGAAACTGACTTGGTGTTAGATACTGTGTCAGTTTCCCAAACATTTCTTACAAATCCTTCAAAACTTAGAATTTACCTATGAAAAATTCCTACATGATCACAGAAACTTTAATAATGTAAACAGGCTTAACTCTTTACTCCCACTGCTCGATGTGATTTCGTGAACTTACAAAGATCATATTGGTTCCTTCAATGCGGTGAGCTCAATGTAGTACTGGATTAATGCTTTAGGTATACTGAACGTATAGGTAATGAGAGTTGATGAGAGTTGGCAAGCGAGAGTTTGCAGAAGAGATTTCTCAACTCTCATGCCTGCCCCGGTCAAACGAGAACAAGAGTTGCATGAGAGTTGATGAGAGTTGAGAAGCGAGAGTTTGCAGAAGAGTTTTCTCAACTCTCATGCCCCGGTCAAACGAGAACAAGAGTTGCATGAGAGTTGATGAGAGTTGAGAAGCGAGAGTTTGCAGGAGAGATTTCTCAACTCTCATGCCTGCCCCGGTCAAACGAGAACAAGAGTTGCATGAGAGTTGATGAGAGTTGAGAAGCGAGAATTTGCAGAAGAGATTTCTCAACTCTCACGCCCTGGTCAAACGAGAACAAGAGTTGCATGAGAGTTGATGAAAGTTGACTGGATGTTACCAAAGATAGCAAAAACTCTAGTCAACTCTCATTAAAATTGGGCTCCACAAAGTTCTCGATCCGGCAATCGTGACTTTCCCTGCTTTTTCCGCTTGAATGCTTTTCCGATCGGCAGTTACTTAAAACCCTGTTAGAAATCATCTCAAAGTTTATAAGAATTGGCGAGAGTTGGCGGTCAGACGCAAGTCTTCTTGGTTTATGCAAGAAATGGTCGGTTCATCGTCACGTGTGTATTGTTTTTTTCGCTCAACCAACTAATAGCAGGGTTACTCAGTCGTGATATTACATGCACAAGTACTAGATAAAACATGAGCAGCCGATCTGTATCTGATATACAAACTCGAGCCAAAGGCGAGAGTAGAGTGTATATGAGATATAGATCGGATGCGAATGACCCATCTTATGAGTTCATTGGCGAAGTAATTTTAAAAATGAACATTGTCTAAGCCGAGAAAATCAAAGCTGAAGTTTATGTAAATCAGGACAAATCTTTATCCGATTTAACAAACATTGATTAAACATTCATTTCTTTTGTATTTTCCTCGTGAATTATTAATGAATTTTTTAATGGTTAAATAAAACATAGCTATTGGTTGCTCTGGCGAAAATACAATACACACATGACGATGAACCGACCATTTCGTGCATAAACCAATACAAAATCATAGATAATGAGGTCTATTTATTATATCTGCATCGATTTCCCTATCCTTCTTATTCTATTGACTATATACGGTTAATCCAAACACACCTGAACTCACACGATCTCCTGCAATGCGACACAGTAACAGCTAGCTAATTCCCACCATTGTTATACTGGCAGCACCCTGACCCGGCGACTTATTCCAGTTAATAATAGACCTACGCCGCATTAAATTTGCGTCATAGACAATGGAAAGTAATTAGACATTTTCCAGAAACCACACCAGGTTGTTTTATAAACTTGTGGGAATAAGACTCGTGTGGAGAATTAGATATTGTTTAACTTAAATTTAGTTTAACATGTAAATGAAATTTATGGCTATAATTTTCTGACTCATTAACACCAGTGAGTAAAATAATTAACTTTTTTTAAATAATTGCCCCCACGAAAAAGCTGCAAGTTTACCGCTAAGAGCTAGGGACATGCCCTATAATACATGCATATAATACAGGAACTGCCTATAATATATACATGCAATGTTTGCAATTCGCATTTAAACTGAAGACTTACACTGTCAAAGTTTCTGTGCATGATCACAGTAGGAATTTTGCATAGGTAAATTCTAAGTTTTGAAAGATTTGTATGAAATGTCATTGAGGGTGCATGTTAAACAGTGAGTCAGTATCCTCAAACTTTTCTTACCAATCCTTCAAAATTTGGAATTTACTTATGCAAAATTCCTACCTGTGATCACAGAAATTTTCATAGTGTAAATGATCCCTTTAAACATCACATAGTTTTTACAATATGATGAGAGTTCTGAGATATGAATATACATTGTCTATAATACAGTATATGGTCTATTATCTACAGTGTGTATGCATGTAACCATGGTATGCTCCCAACTAGTACACAATTCAAAACTATATTATATTCATGTATTCTAACTTCAACAATACATTCGTTTAAATAGGTTATTTTGCTGATTAATAAAATATCGTCTCTACTATTGTTCAGTCTTTATGGTGTCTAGTATTTAAATTATTTCCTCATAGAATGCCAATAAAATTTATTCTCCTAAACTTGGACTGTGCATGATCACTAATAAAAAATTATTCTTCATTTAAATATTCCATTGGTAATAAGTTACAGAATTAGTTAATAAGTTACGGAATTTGATATTAGTATTATCATACCAAGGTATATTAGTGCTGTTAGTGTCCAGTGATAAATCTTAAAAGGGGTACCTCCCTTCTGTTAATGGTACCTTTAGTCACAGTTAATAGAATTTTAGTTAATAATGTCAGAAGACAATACATGGATCAGGAAACCCGCAAATCGTGGGATTTTACCGCACCAACACACGCGAGGTTTTGCTATTCCACGCGCGCGAACCGTCTATTCACACGCGGGATATCGATGGTGCAATAAATTGAGTAAAATCACACGATATGCGGGATTCGTGATATGCATTGGTAGTCATTTTTTACTTTTTAGTTTCGCGCAGATTAACTCCAAACCGTTTTCCACAGGAATTTTTGAATTTCTCGGTTGATCGCAGTTCAGAACAGAATCTTATCCAGCGGAAATGAAGTAAATATAGACATCGCGAATTGAGCCCACGAGTACAGTGAGATCTTAACCAGCGGCAATTCACAAAAATACGGACAATCAGATAGGATATATCCTGGGCCTAGGTGAGCCCACACACACAACACAATATAACCAGCGGTAATAAAGATAAATATGGCCAACCTTATTAATCGTAGAATGATACGACCTCGGGCGCGACATCCTCTTCTTGTAAACGTTGTAGCAATGGTTGATATATTTTACGATCTGTTGGAAGAACAAGGCCTTTGCTCTTAATGTCACCTGGAAATATAATGACAAAAATTGAGGTGAAACACTGATGAGATCATTATCGTCTTAGTGGTTGTGGCTAGAAAGAATACCGGATTTCAGCATATACTATAGCCACGGCGGTTTGTGGCTATAAATGATACCTGATTTCAGCATACCTTACAGCCACGACAGTTTGTGGCTATAAAGGATGCCGGATTTCGGCAAACTTTATACTGTAGCCACGGCGGTTTGTGGCTATAATTATAAATGATACCTGATTTCAGCATACCTTACAGCCACGACAGTTTGTGGCTATAAAGGATGCCGGATTTCGGCAAACTTTATACTGTAGCCACGGCGTTTTGTGGCTATAATTATAAATGATACCTGATTTCAGCATACCTTACAGCCACGACAGTTTGTGGCTATAAAGGATGCCGGATTTCGGCAAACTTTATACTGTAGCCACGGCGTTTTGTGGCTATAATTATAAATGATACCTGATTTCAGCATACCTTACAGCCACGACAGTTTGTGGCTATAAAGGATGCCGGATTTCGGCAAACTTTATACTGTAGCCACGGCGTTTTGTGGCTATAATTATAAATGATACCTGATTTCAGCATACCTTACAGCCACGACAGTTTGTGGCTATAAAGGATGCCGGATTTCGGCAAACTTTATACTGTAGCCACGGCGTTTTGTGGCTATAATTATAAATGATACCTGATTTCAGCATACCTTACAGCCACGACAGTTTGTGGCTATAAAGGATGCCGGATTTCGGCAAACTTTATACTGTAGCCACGGCGTTTTGTGGCTATAATTATAAATGATACCTGATTTCAGCATACCTTACAGCCACGACAGTTTGTGGCTATAAAGGATGCCGGATTTCGGCAAACTTTATACTGTAGCCACGGCGTTTTGTGGCTATAATTATAAATGATACCTGATTTCAGCATACCTTACAGCCACGACAGTTTGTGGCTATAAAGGATGCCGGATTTCGGCAAACTTTATACTGTAGCCACGGCGGTTTGTGGCTATAATTATAAATGATACCTGATTTCAGCATACCTTATAGCCACGACAGTTTGTGGCTATAAAGGATGC